CTGGATTACGGAACCTCCCTCCTCATCGGAGTTCCCAACTCTTCCCTTCACAAGCTGCAAATCATTCAAAACTCTGCAGCTCATGTACTCTCGCGCACCAGGCTCCGTGACTCCATCACTCCCACCCTCGCCCGACTCCACTGGCTCCCCATCCCCCAGAGGATCGAGTTCAAGACCCTCGTCATCACTTTTAAGGCCATCCATGGCCTTGCCCCCTCCTACCTCTCTGACCTGCTGACCCCCTAGCAACCTGCCCGCTCACTCCGTTCAGTGTGCTCCGGACTGCTCCATGTCTCCCGCCCAACCATCGGTGGCCGAGCTTTCAACCTCTCTGCCCCCACACTCTGGAACTCCATCCCACCGTCCCTTTGCCTCGCTTCCTCCCTCGCCTCCTTCAAGGCCGGTCTCAAGACCCTTCTCTTCGATCGTGCCTTTGGTCGCCCTCCCACCTCTCTGTCTTCCCTCAGCCCTACACCATCCCTCCCCCCCATGCTCGGGCCCCGACACCTGACTGTTCAGCACTTTAGGACGTCCTCCCAATGTGAAAGGCACTCTATAAATGTAATTTTCTTGTTGTTGTAAGCCTTAGCTTTTAAGAATAGGTCTTAAACTTTGAAGCTCGCACAGATTGTAAAAACAAACTCTTAAACTCAGTTTTAGTTGTTGTTAGGAACTCCATCCCACAGTCCCTCTGCCTCGCCCTCTCCCTTGCCTCCTTCAAAACCCATCTCAAGACCCTCCTCTTTGACCATGCCTTTGGTCACCTTCTGACCCCTACCTGCCACCCTTCCTGATCCCAACCACCAGCTAGGGTGCTGATCCCTGACTGTCCAGGGTCTTGGGACGTCCTCCTGACATGAAAGGCGCTATACAAATGTAATTTGTGGCTGTTGTTATGGTTAATTTGGAAGCTATTTTTCAGAAATTCTTAAAAAGAACCAGCTTCCAAATTTAGATTGAATTTAAGGATTTTCTGCATCCATTATGATAGTGAGAATCACTCATTGATCTTGGGGGGAAAGGAAAAATGCAAAGACTATTATTAACTATTAAAAAATCCTCATGAACGTGGGAGATACATGGAGTCAAAGTCGATATTGCCTCCAGTATAATTACTTTAATATATTCTCTGTATGCACTATCATAGTGCACTGTAATAGTACATCCATACAGTCCTAACATGTTATCGTGACTGATGTCACTGAACACGTGACTGAAGAAAATGAAGACTGGGCCACAGGCCAGAAAAAAACCTGAGCCACCTCTGACCCCTGATGTAAACAATCTATTCACCTTGATTTACCCAATTTATCTACATGTCCCTTATTCAGTGATGATAATAATCCTTCCCTTTGATGTTCCCATTACTTCTTCCCGTTCCCAGTCTTATTACTTTGCATTTATCCATATTAAATTACATCTGCCATTTGTCAAATTCATCTCCGATTCATTGAAATCTCTCTGCTTGTTCTTTTCCATTGTTTCCAATTCCTCTTCCCTCTCCCCAACACAAAGCAAGCTGATCTTTTGAATCATATTATCAAAAGGGAGAACATGTTTTATTGCAGTCTGTATGAACAAAAACAGATGTAAGATCCTGCTATATGTTCGGTAGTTGAGGTCATGTCTACAATTTTTGGGACTGACCTGAAGAAACATAATAGTACTGCATTGCACAAAACCTTTTTGGGGGGTCAGCCGGGTGTCTGACACATGTGGAAACCCATTGGTGAAATGGAATGCACTCTCTCCCTGAAGGGATGCATCCTGCTTTCCTGATTCCAGTTGGCAAGAGGCAAGGCTTGTGGACCCCAGAATGAGCGTTTGGGTACTGCTGGAGTTTAACCAGCTAAAACAGCATAGCTTGCTATTGATATTGCTCTCTGGGAAGCTTTCCCACAGCTTGTCCAGCTGGGACCACCCGACCCATTAGGGCGAGCTGAGTGGGATGATTCCCTGCCCCCAGTGAATTCCAAGTCCTACCAATGAGCCAGGCTGGCTGTGCTGTCATCAGCAGTGCCTGGAGTACTGTAGACCCACCTGGCTCAGGAACCCGACTACCGAAATGTTGGGCAAGTTTTTTTATTCCACATGACTCCATTTACTTAGCAGTAAGTAGGAACCCGGTTGTTAGTCAATTGGCGGATCGCTTCTCCGGGGTAATAATCTCTTCCAAAAAAATAAAATAATAATTTGGTCACTCAATCCACGACTGTTTGTGGGACGCTGTTGTGCACAACTAGATGCCGCATTTCACTACAAAATATACAGTCAATTCACTTTACAGTATATTCTGCAAAGCCCTTTGGACTTCTTGAAGACGTGATAAGGCACGTCATCAAATACGAGGATTATTATTATTACCGAGACTGCCATAGAGGGCTGGCTTGATTCCGACTTTCTGTTGCCAAACATGTCGCCTTGGACCCAGACAGCTCCAAGGGGAGCCTGCATACTTCCTTCCCAAGGATGATACCCATAATGTAATGGCTATTTAAAGTTAGCTGCATTTTAATAACCAAAAATGGCACAAAAACATGATCAGTGCAAGGATACCTTATCTAAATCAGCAACTTAAACTCTAAAGAAATTCTGCTGAGGCCAGCAACAATATTATTTCTGAATAGATCAAACCATTCTGTTATTTCCTTTGGGGACATGTGATATGCTGAAGTTGATAAGTTCTATTATACATTCTTCGCTGACAAGAAAGATTTCAGACTCTCCAACAAAACAAATTTAATTCAGTCTTCTGAGCCACCTTTATGTACGCCATTAACTGTATAGGCTTCTGAGTGCCAACATTTGTCAATTGATTTCTGCTAAATCTACAAATTTATAGTTCACATAATTTCCATGAACTGTGTCTACCAGAATCACAAGATACATCTCATTCTAGTAGGTCCATAATACCCTGTATAAAGTTTTGTTAAAGTGCTCTGGGACCCTAGCCTCCGTGAAGGGCATTATATAAATGCAACTTATGTTGTTATTATTTAAAATATTAGGATACAGCAACACAGAGCAGCATTACTATAATCTGTCAAACAGCAGCACAAATGAACTTTCCTTGTATAAGGCAATTCCGCTAGAATACCCACTGGTTGAATGCAAGCTCACTCAAGAGCATGTGTCTAATGGAGACCTGAGCTAACCACAATACACCTGGTTTCCCACGCTAAAAATTGTCCAACTTCCAGGTTGTCAGCTCACCACTGATGTAATTTCCTGTGAGCTATCACGCCATGAAAGAATTGATGTCAGCAAGCTTCTTGCACATAGAACCTGACAATGAGGAATTCGGACATTTCTTATGATGACTTACAACGTGAGTGATTGGACCCAGACAAACGCATTACAATGGGGTTGCCCTGTAACAATAATAATACTTGCATTCGAATAGCGCTTTATCAGGTCTTCGAGACGTCTCAAAACGCTTCACATAATATCCTCTAAAGTGAATTGACTGTATATTCCATGGGCAAAATGGAAGCACTAATGACATAGATCCATCACTGGAGCTCAGAGAAAGCCAGTGGGCTAACAGCTTAAAGGAACTACTCTATTGAACAGATTCAAGTTGTGCAGAGCAAACCACCACCACGAACTTGCTAATAAACACCTGCAACAGATCATCTTCTCTTGATGGTGATGCAAACTGGTCTGTGGTCCCATTGGTGCCAGCCAAAGGAAACTGTTTTGCTTCTGTTCTTGGTGGAATTTGCACTCATACTCATACACAAAAAGTTATAGAAAAATGGCTTATCAGGATATTGCAGCAAGCTGCCACAGAACCGCAGGAACATTTCAGTTCTTCAATAAATATGTAGTTTACAGCGAGTCCCTTCATTTATAAATGGAAAGTGCCAGAAAAGAGAGTGAGAAGGTTTATGCTAATTCAGCTACCTACAGTGCTATTGGATTACATTTCATTTTACACCACAAATCAATTCTCCCCCCTTTTCAAAGCAATGACTCATTCTGGGTCACAATATCACGGGCGTTAGTCGTCCTTTTTTAACATCTTTTCCAACAAGTCATTTTTAAGTCAGGCTTAACAACAACTTGTGTATATATATATACACACACATACATATAGCATCATTCACGCAGGATAGTGTCTTGGAGCGCTGAGACAAATGCTGTTGGTGGATTCCTCAACCACTGTGTCAAAGGTAAGCCATATCCTGTCTACTGCCAATGCCAACACAGGCTGAATAGAAATCAAGACCCCAAAACGCGGCAGATATGGATTACTCCACGGATTACTATTCTTTATCATTTGGTCAACCTCCACAATCAAAAAGCATTCCGCAGTTCTAATAAATCTACTGGTCCTAGTGCAGCAGACCAGATGGGAATCAAGGCAATAAGTCTTTGGAAAAGCATGAAGAATGCCCCAACTGACCTAGCTGCTTTACAAATGGCTTCCAGGGGTACTCTGTTCGTAATGGTCCAGGAAGTAAATGCTATACAAGAAAATGAACTGTAAACTGCTCTGGTGAGTCCTGCTGTGCCAATGAGTATTTCAAGGAGATATATTTCGCAAACCAGTTTTCTAATCTCCAATTAGTAATCATTTTTCCAAGTTTTTGTTTCCAAAAGAGAACCAGCACTGTATTACTTTGGAAGAAACGCCATGTAGTAGATAAAAATGTCAGCACATCAACTTCCTGAAACAAATTAAACTAGCACGATTTTGTGTACAAAATGTGAGATCAGAAGACATTTCTTCACAGAAAGGGTTCTAAGAATGTGGAACGCACTGCCACAGAAGGAAAACAAATTGGTCGGAAAGTTTAAAAAAGGGAGATAGACAGTTACTTGGGAAGTGAAGAAAAGACATTAAGGAATATGGAGAAAAGGAATGAGAAATGCGATTAATAGGTCTGCCATGATCTAATAAAACAATGCAATTTATAACTCAGAATTATCTAGGTTTGGGTACACTATCACTATAGATCTACCAATACAAGTTTAAAAATACACTGTTGCCCTACCGTTTTCATTTCTTCAACATAGGCAATCATGGCTTCTTCTTTAGACATATCACCCAGGGAATTCCAAGCATCCCTAAATAATAAACACAAGAAGTCATTTAATGACTTATTACATGCAAAGCTGATTCTCGAAACTCCAGTCATTTCTAAACTAAACTGTTACACTGCTCAGGAAAAGAGTCACTGTAAAGGTAAACAACTTTTTTTTCTATCAGCCGAGGAAACGCCCAAATTTCAGAACCCAGATCTCAAACCGCAGGTATTCCCCAACAATAACTTGAATTTATATGGTTTCCTTCACGTAAACTAGCATCTTGAAGCACTTTATAGAGATGGTGCTTGACATTGAGTGAGGGAGGTGGGAAGGGAGGTCGCCTTCGGCACAGTCTAGGAGGGCGTTTTTAGGTAGTTTTTGAAGACAGAGAAGGGGAAATGAAGGGGTTGGTATCACTCTTGTCACAGGAACAGAAGGTTGACATACACAATTGAGCTGAAAAAAATTGAGCTGAGACTCCAGTGCTGTGCTGGGTCACTGCTGTATTGACCTTTGATGAGATGTTAAACTGAGGTCCCGTTAGCCTGTTCCGGTGGCCATTAAAAATCCTGTCATATTTTGAAAACAGAAGGCAGTTTCTTCCCAATATCTCCCAACCNAAAAAAAACAACAAAAATCCAAGCTGCCTGATTGAAAGATCACAGTAATCCTGACCCGTCTCTCTTACTCACACACCTTACCTCCCAACATGAAGGTGTTTTTTTAATCTTCTACCAGCTGTCTTAAACAGAATTTTTCCACATTAAGGCAAAATATAGGAACTTTTCAAAATTCTGCATGATTTTAAATTTTAAGACAGTGACCTTAATAATAATCCTTACATTCAATTTAGCACCTTAACATGCCATCTAGATGTCTCAAAGCGGATATACTGTAAAGTGGAGTGACTCAGTATTTTATGGGTGTAACGCAGCAACCAGTAGCCCACAGCTAAACTAAACCCATGAGAAATGAAAAGCTGCTGAGGTCCAAGCCCAAACAGTTTCTAGGCAGGGTCATGATTAGCAAGTGATTTGCGTTAGCGCTCCTGCCTTTCTGAAGCTCTAGGGAACTAAGTCCAATTGCAACACCAACTCCCTCCCTCCCATCTTGCTAGTCAGTTTCAGCTTAGAAAATGCCTCTCATCAACTGAACCACTGGGTAGCACTTTATGACAATACAAACAACAGTATTTTGTAAGCGGTGGTAGATGACTATTCTTTGACTGTGAATACTTTTGTAAATGAGAAGGACGATGCAGATATGCTCGTTGTCCATAAGAAGGGAGTTGGGTTCAGCAAAAAGTGGGAAACTGATGATGTGTTCAAATGTGGAAAAACATTTCATTCCTCACTACTGATGCTTTTCCCGTCCTCAGCAAAACATTCCCTAAAAAAGCATACTTGCCTTGAACTTCAACCAATTTGCATTTTTGGTGGCTTGAGGAAAGCCAGGAAATGTGGCATGATAGCCACCACCAAAGGAACAACACAACTGTCTGACAGTTAAATACTGTACAAACTGAGTTAAGACCACTGGAAAGTTTGCAACTATGTTAATACTGCGGCCAAACTAACGTTTAACAGATCTACACAACAAATAACTTCCAAACTCAAGTAACACACTTGGATAGCGATTTTTTTTTAAAAATTATGCTCAGACCAAGTTCATATTCCCACATCTGGGTTAGTGGGAGACAAGTTTAAAAAAGGGAGATAGACAGTTACTTGGGAAGTGAAGAAAAGACATTAAGGAATATGGAGAAAAGGAATGAGAAATGCGATTAATAGGTCTGCCATGATCTAATAAAACAATGCAATTTATAACTCAGAATTATCTAGGTTTGGGTACACTATCACTATAGATCTACCAATACAAGTTTAAAAATACACTGTTGCCAGTGATGGTAACAGTGACAAATGGAGGAATATTACTATTCCTCATTATACAACAATATGGAGGAATTATTGTATAATTCCTTCAATGGATGTTGTATCAGGATAGAAAAATATTCTTACCTTTGCAGATTTCTATTTCCCTGTCATATCCAAACTGCCCCTAATAATAATAATAATTGTGAGACATCCAAGGGGGTATTAAATTTTACTAGTGGGCAACCTTGGCATTCAGTTTGATCCTCAGTTATCTTTCCTCCCTCAGTACCAGGCCCTGACCAAGATACTTTTTCTCCACCTTCACCACATTGCTTAACTTCATCCCTCTCTCACACTCAACAATGCCAAACTCTCCCCAGCTCCAACATCCTGTAGCTCAGTGGTTAGAGCACTCGCCTTGCAAGCGAGACACCTGGGTTCAATCCCAGGCAGGGCGAAACCGTGGGCAAGTTTCCTTACTCCACACACCAAATAATAATCCCTCCAAAACAAAACAATAATAAATTGGTCATTTTCAATCCATACTGTTTGTGGGACGCTGCTGTGCGCAATTGGCTGCTGCGTTTCGCTCATAAATATACAGTCAATTCACTTTACAGCATATTCTGTGAAGCGCTTTGAGACGTCTAGAAGATGCGAAAAGCGCTATATCAAATGCAAGGATTATCATTATTATCCAAGAGCTGTAGCTCATCCAAAATTTCACTGCCTGCATCCTTACCCACGCAAAACGTTTCCCAACCCATCACACCACTCCTTGCCAAGCTCCATAAGCTCCCCTCTCAGATCAATTGTCCACAAATCTCTAAACACCCTCACTTCTCCTTACTGAGTAAACCTTTTTTTTAAAAAAAGTTAATCCCACATTCCACTTCTCACCCAATATCCTTTAATTTTTACAGTGGTTGTTTGAGCTTCCTTTCAAAATTTCCCAGATAGAATTTTTTGTAAATAATCTAAATCCTTATAAAATCAGCAAGTTACATTGTCTTATTGTTTTGACCAACTTTTGTCAATGGAAAAAGAAGAATTCTGAAAAGTGGATATTAGACTCAAAATTATGTAGATATTACAAATCAACATCTTTTGAGGAAGATCAGTTGAGAGATAAAATAGTTTGTTTTCTCATTAATTAAGGACATATTATAAAAAACAATGACAAGACAAAGCATTCTTAATCAAAAACTCCATACCATTTTCAAAATAACAGCCAAGTATTTCAAAGATTAGTATCACTTNAAAAAACTCAATAAAGAACATTTGACTTTAATTATAGTTTTTTCTAATTATGAAAGCAAACATATTTGTCCTGCTATTTGCATCACTGGGCAACGTGGCTTGAAAGAGTCATTGTGGTTGTTGGTTAGATTATACTGAAATAAGACTGTTGAAACAAGCATGGTAAGCACCTCATGGCCTAATGTTATTTCAATGGCCACACTGTCAAGTAGATTGACTCGGTTAAGATGAGTCACGGATCATACTAGCTTATAAAACAAAACAGAAATAGACTGGAAACAATTGATGTCAAATCTACTTAAATAATTTTTGAAATGGGTTCTGATGGCTATCGCTTTGCGATACCTGTAGCATAGTGGTTAGCACATTCGCCTCGTAAGCGAGAGGACTCAGGTTCGATTCCTGGGTGGGGCGAAGCCTTAGTTTTCTTACTACAAACGTCTCTGTTTACTTAGCAGTAAGTAGGAACCTGATTGTTCAGATCGATTTTCCGGAGGCAACAAATCCCTTCAAAAAAAATAATTATTTGGTCACTCCATCCATGACTGTTTATGGGACACTGCTGTGCACAATTGTCTGCCGTGTTTCTCCCGTTGTGTATATTTTCTGTAGATAAAGTCAATCCAGTTTCCAGTATATTCTGTGAAGCACTTTGAGACGTCTCAACGACGTGATAAAGCACTAAATCAAATATAAGTATTATTATTATTATATTATTAAACAGCCTGCTTGGGGGTGGGATTTGCCAACAAGTTTTTCTTTGTTGTTTTCTGTTTGATTTCAGTTCTGTGCATTAATTGTTTTTCCTCATATACAGTACTACAATGGTTAAACAGTAAGAAAGTACAGACACCAGGAAACTTCATTCCTGGTTGGTGAGTAGAACTTTAGAGAAGTCACCTAAAATAGCCTTCCTGCACAATAGCTGTTACTTGATCTTTTCACTAAAAAACAAGTAAAGGCTAATAAGGATGAAAGTGCTGCAATGCAACACAAAAGAACTAAACAAGAAAACAACAGAAGAACAATGAAAGATCATTGAAGGAGTGCTAAAAAAAAACTGATGTTACTTGTAACCTTGTCAAATTGCCAACATTTGGGTGGTGGATTTCAGTTTGGGTCAACCGGGAGCCTGATATAGGTAGAAACCCATCACCATGCTTAATAGTATCCAAACCAAACAGAGTTCCGTGCATCGCACCTACACATGGAAATTCCCATGTAGTGGAGTGGAATGCACACTCTCTCCCTGGAGGAACTCATCCTGCTTACCTAATTCCAGAGAGAAAAAGGTGTAGGTGGGCAGGAACCAAGGCTGAGGAATCTCAGAGGTACTGCCGGGGTTTAACCAGCTAAAACCGCAAAGCTTGACACTGTCTGACATGCTGCCCATATAATGCACGTTGCAAAGTAAAGGCAACATTATTAAACAGATAGTGATTTCATCAACAAATGCAGCAATACCTGTTAGCATTTCCTGTCATCTTCCAAATAACAGCTATTTTTCACAAAATGTGTAGAAGTACATTAGCAGGAAATCAACATCCAAACCACCAACAGTCGATGTTCTTAAAATAGGCCCCATTAGAGTTTTCAAAAGAAAGCAGTCAGACATCTATTTTGCAGCTGAAAGGGTAAGTTTGCTCTCAAAACTCAGGTACAAAAACATATTATGGGGGGGGGGGGGCATTTTCACAGCAGCAAAGAATTGGGTCCGTTGCAGTGCATTTCTTCGCCAATAACGATCCTCATGCTGATCCAAGGTGACCTGCTTGCCAATGCAATGTTGGAATTAAGACAGTTCCATCTGTGGCAAGCTCAGTCACCTGGTGCCCGAGCCGGCGGTTCTGTAGTAGTCCAAGGCACTGCTGATGGAAGATCAGCCGGCTCAACGGCAGGACCTGAAGGATCATGGAAGAAGTATGGATATTTCCTATTCGACTCCTATTAATTTTGCAAGCTTAAGCCCAAACTGTTGGTCCCAGGGGGCAAAGCAGCGAGAAGCTTGACAGACTATGCTTTCAATGCCAAGCTATGTGGTTTTAACTAGTTAACCTCCAGAAGTACCCTAATGCACATTCTAGATTGCTTAAGATTGGCTCTTGCCGACCTGCGCCTAACTTGCAGGAAGGTGAGCAGGGTTCTCCAGGAAGAGAGTGTGCATTCCATTCTAGACACAGGAAATTTCAATGCGTCGGTTGCATACATATGTGGAACTCTGTATGGTTTGGATATTCTTAAGCATAACAATGGTTTCCGCACCTGTCTGGCAAACCAAAATAAAAAAAACACCAACAAGGTTACAAACCCACCCAAAAAAAAATCTTTAAATGGGATATGGTTTACTTTGACCATCTCACTTATGCCTACTATCAGGAAAAGATACCTTTCTAGATGGTGCAGTCAACAAAGGTGGAGTTGTCAACATTAAAACATGCTGGGAGTCACAATTATGATCAGTAAATGTGATTAACTGCTCAGTTACACATTGAACTTTGTATTTTTAAAAGTGACATTTCAAAACCTAAAATGAGCAATAGTTGGTGGATTTTCAACAAAAGAACTTGCAATTTTATCATACTTTAAACCTCAAAATGTCTCAAAGTAATTACTATCACATGTAGACAAAGGAAGCTATTTTGTGCACAAACAACCATGAGTTAGCAATAACATTTAAATGCTAGAAGGTTTGAAGGTAAGATAAACGCAGGTGAAAAATTATACAAATTTACAACAGAATGGATTAATGAGATAAGACAAATTCGAAAATTACAGGGTGCTAGCACAATCACTGAAACTACCATAATTGTATAAGGCTGCAAACATGCATTACATGAAGTTTAACATAGAGACTGGGTGCAGTGTGTCAAACACTAGCATTTCACCGTTATAACCTGGTTTTAAATCTAGCCTAGGCTGAGAATGAAAGCCTTTCTTCGCCAGTAGAGAAACCACAGAATTAATTGGGGATCAACAGGAAAAATATATACATACATCAGTATAAATAATTCACTCAAATAAACCATTATGATGGGCTGATTTGGAAAATATAAAGTTTGACACGTGTGCAGTGGAAAACAAAATGGCATTTTGAGGTTAATACATTGTCAGAACAGATGAAGGTTTCTCTCAACACTTGACTTGGGGAAACTTTTTTTCCACCCTCATGGAAACAGTTTCACAAACATCGGCCATCCTCGGCCATCTCACATAAGTTGTCAGTCTTTATGTGTGAGCCTAGACTAGTCAAACTGTTGGGTGTGGGCGTTTCAATCTTGTCCTCAACTGTTATTTACACAGACACACTTTTCAGCAGAGATCACTGGATAGCAATCATGATTGAAATTTCCCCTCCCAAATCCACAAAGCTGAAGCTAATGGTTTCATCTCTATTACTGCCCCATCTTGAATAATCTAATTCAAAGCAGATTGAGAATTGAATCTGAAATCTTGTAGGTCAATGTGGCTTAGTTTCAAGCAAAGCAACGGCTTTATCAGGTAAGCCATCAGCCGAACTCTTAATGCTGAGGATGGCTAAGTGTTCTATTCCCCTAACCGCTTCATCCTTTTAGCACCAAATCAATTAATATATCTTTCAAAACAGTTATTATAATAATCCTTGCAGTTGATAGTGCCTATAATATCAAAATGACTCAAGTTCTTCACAAGCAATTGCTGTTAAGTCCAGCAAATTTATATTTCGCCCACAAAGTATTTTCTGTGAAACGCTTTGAGACGTCCAGAAGACGTGATAAGGCCCTATATCAAATGCAAGGATTATTATTATTTGTAGGCAAAACAGCAGCCATTCTGCACACAGCAAGGCCCCATAAAGAGCCATAAAGCTATAAAGTGAATACAAATGAGGAGAAATCTCATCTATGTCTAAATTTACACTATTTCAAAGGATCCGGAATTTGGCAATTGTTGATTTCAATCTTAGCTTTCTGTAGTTCTTAAAAGAATTTATATCATACAGTTTTCAGAATGAAGTATCAATAAATATAATTGATTAAAAATATTGATTAGAAAGTGAATATTGTTATATAGGGAAACTCAGCAACTATTTTGTACCAGCAAATATCCGTAAACAATTAGAATAAATTAAACTGGGATAAATTTAGATGAAGATAACTGGGAGAAAGACTTCATGATTCTTTGTAATAGCAATGGCATAATCTCTTATGTGCCTGAATCACAAGACAGAACGATCCAAAATTAATATGAAAAAATTGGATGATGATCTGGAAATACATAATAAACTTGTATTTGATATAGATTTCTGTTATTTGACATGACCTCGCCTCGCAAGCGATTGGACCCCGGTTTGATTTCCGGGCAGTGCAAAGCCTTCGGCACACACCTCTGTTTACCTAGCACTAAATAGTAACCCGACTGTTTGTGGGACACTGCTGGGCGCGATTGACTGCCTTGTTTCACCCCCCAAAACACACAATCAATTCACTTTACACTATATTCTATGAAACACTTCAATACGTTTCACCCATGTGATAAGGTGCTATATCAAATGCAAGGATTATTATTATTATTAAGAGAAGACAAGATAATTGGGAGAAAGACTCCATGATTCTTTGAAATAGCAATTGGCATAATCTCTTAATGTATGTCTGAATCACAAAGCAGAAATGATCCTAAAATAAATATCAAAAGATGGATTAATGAACTGGAAATACATAGTAATCTTGTATTTGATAGAGACTGCTGTCATTTGACATAATGACAATTTTACTGCATCAATAAAGTTAGTAATTAAAAACAAACATTACCATTTATATTTGCCAATTGGATCCCAGAATCCAGGCCTCGGGGTGTTGCAGGGGCCCAGTGTTGCTTGTTTATAGTAACTGTAGAACTTCAACATCAGCTCATTTGATGGCTGAAATGAACCTATATAATAAAGCAAACACTTAATACTATATTTCCAACATTACTGTAATTCCAACATGTACAATCAGTTAACTTCTAATTAAAACATCCGGGAGTTGCAGATTCCATGCCACACATTCCCTTTATCCTTACTGGCATTTATTGATAACTGCTTCAAAGTGTGTAATGCTTGGGCAGAGGCAAGTTATCCTCCTCTAACAAATGAACAGCCTGACTTTATATGGTTAGAACACATTTCTTGGCAGGGAGTAAAGAGTTATGCTGTAGAGAGAGAACATATTACTGCATTTTAAACTTTTAATAGTAGTGGTTTAAAATACCTTTTCCAGTAAAACACTATAATTGTATAGTCCCATAAAAGAGATAACTACTGCATTTGCAGAATTACAAGAAGCAACCAAACACTTCACCTTATATGGATCTGGAAGTGTAAACTTTGCTCTCAGAGTTTTAGGTGTGAGATCACCATTCCAGTATCTGATTGGTTGTTTTTTTTTAAAAAAAGCATTATGTATTAGGAATGTGCTTTGGTATATTAAAACGTTATCACCTGCAGGCACTCAATTTTAAATTATTGTTGCTAACACAATACTAAATAATTATGTTTGAAAAGAATTCTGGCAAAGTGGAAGAGATCACCTTGCCCTGCTCTCTGGAACTCTCTCCGCTTTGCATACTGCCTCAATGCTCTTAAAATCCCTCTAAAACCTCCCATTATGCCTTCTTTTCCCCATTCCCCATCGTCCTCACCCTGGCTCCGTAAAGTGCTTTGAGACATTTAACAATGAGAAATAAATAATAAATAATCCTTGCATGTGGTATAGCACCTTTCACGTCAGGAGGACATCCCAAAGTGCATCCCAGTATTTACTGTGGAGTGGTTGTGTGTTTGTAGCCCGAATGCGGCAGACCAACTACACACAGCAATTGTACACTCCGAGAAGCTACCCCTCATCAAGTGCGCTTCAAGTTGTTTCTGTGCTCCAAATCTACATGTACCTTTTAAAAATCTGAAATCATGTAATCAGCTGCAATAAAATTACCTCTCAAAACTGAATCAATGTAATTTCAAATGGAGCTAACAAAAACAAGAATAACACCATGATATTTATATAGTGCCTTTTATATCCCAGGTACTGGACAGTAAATGGTTTGCACCCGAGCTGGGGCTTGGAATCAAGAGGGATGGAAGATAAGGGAGATGGGAAATTTTAATTTCCAAAAAAAAGTCACTGAAATATAAAAATAACATTTTTATAAAAATTACACTTCATGTCACTTCAAAGCCGAAATAGCAAAGAGAATACAGAAATATACCAGTTTCAAATAACCCAAATAATTCACATTTATGTGTACTCTTCACGTTAGGAGGACATTTCAAAGCATTTCACACAACTGACTGGGAGCCTGAGGTTGAGAAGGAGCTGGCGGGGGAGTGGGGGGGGGGGGGGGGGAAGGTGGGCAAAGTGGACAAGGTGGAAGGAATTCCAGAGAGATGGAATTCCAGAAGACAGCAGCCAAATGGCTGAATGCCCACCCACCAATGGTAGAGGAGAGTGGGTGGAGGATGTAAAGAAGGTTGGCATTTGCTAAGTGGAGGAAGCCATGGGGTAACAGGTCACGGGTCGCAGAGATTAGTTGGGGCAAAGCAATGCAGGCATTTAAGTCTGAGGATGAGAATTTTGAACTCAATCCACTGGGGGAAGGGGAAACAGTGCAGTCAGGCAAGGGTGTTGGGCTCGGAAACTCAATGCAGGTTTGCTGCTCATGTAGGGAGGATCTGGGGAGTTCTGCAAGGCGGGCATTGGATTTGTTGAGCATGGAGGTGATGAACACAAGAAGGAGGGTCTCAGCAGCAGGAGGATAGGTAGTGGCAGAGAAGGGTGATACTGCGGAGGTGAGAGAGAGCAGTTGAGAGCCCAGATGTATTGCTTGAAGGATAGTTGGGATCAAACTAGACACTGTGGATCTGCACTGGCTCTAATTAGGTGAAGTGAATATCAGTACAGGTTGAGGTAAGGAGCTGGTGATAGGAGAGCCAAGTGGAACAACTTTGATCTTGTTAATGTTGAGCTGTAGAAAGTTAGAACTGATCTAGCACTTGATGTCTGACAGGCAATCAGTCAGAACAGCAGTGTGCCTCGAATTACGGGTAGAGGAATAAAGAGTTGTGTAATATCTGCGTACATGTGGAAGTGGATCCTAATGTCTATGAATGACGTCACTGAGACAATAAGATGGCGAAAAGGAGGACAGAATAGAGCCCTGAGGAACACTGCATGCAACTGTGTGGAGTGGGAGGAAAAAACACTGGAACACTTAGTGAGGACACAAGAATTGCTAAGAGTGAAACTAGGACAGGACCTTGAAGAAAAGGTGGTGAAGAATGAAATTGTCAACATTTGAGAAGCAACAGAGAGGTACAAGAGAATGAAGAGGCAAAGAGAGCACAGGTCACAGATAGAGAGAACTTCATTAGTGACTTTTGAACAGGCAGATCAGTGCTGGAGGCAGGCTGGATTGTAAAGGTTCATGGAGGGATCAGTGGAGAGGAAGGAGGGAAGCAGAGACATGATGATTCATTCCAAGCCAACAACAAAAACTGGTATTTATATAGCACCTCTCACCCAGGGTGGCATCCCAGAGCGCTTTACCCGCAGCAGAGAGACGTTGATGGGAGCCAATGAGTATGGCTTCCGTCTTGCCGACATTCAGCTGATGGAAATTTGCGCTTAACAGGGCCTTGATGTCTGTCAAACAAGCTGACAAGACATCAGTGGACTGGGAGACGAAGCTGGAGGAAAAGTCGATTTGGGTGTCATCCACATAATAATAATAAGCCTTACACTTGATACGATGCTTTTCATGTCAGGTGGACAAAGCAAAGGACTTCAGAGTTGAACTGTAGGATTTACTGTAAAGTGTAGTTACTGTATTTTGTAAGTGAATGACTATTAGCTAATATCTATATTAGATTTCAAGAAGGAACTGGATAGATAGCTAATATTTGGTAATTTGCAGTGGTTCGGGAAAAAGATTAATTGGATTTAATGGATAGCTCTTTCAAAGAGCCAGCACAGACACAATGAGCCAAATTGCCTTCTTTTGTGCTGATTTCTTTGGTCAAATAATGGAAATTTCTGTTTGGTTGGTTTAGAGAGTGTACTCTCACCCTGGAAAGACACACCCTGTTTATTTAATCCCAGAAAGTTTGGATGCAAGTTGTCAAGAGTCAAGGTTTGGGGACCCTAGAATGTGCACTGGGTACTGCTGGAGTACATCCAGCTAAAACAGTGCAGCTTGCCATTGTGAACACAGCATTACCACCATCTTCCTGCCCACAGTCTAGAAACACATCCCTACCCACTGAGCTGTGGTTCTACCAGTTGGGGTAAAGTGAGCAACTGCTCAACTCTTTGCATATGAATCAAAGTAGGCACCAAGCCTTGGTTATGAGTGTATGTATATACACAAATGCAAATACTGTATCAAGAGCAGAGCTGGAGCGCAGAGATCTGATCCCAACTTTCATTTCACTATCACAGAGCTGCATCAAGTTTTAACTCCATAACTCGTTGCCAATCAACATTTTAACATAAGGTCACAGATTTAGCTATTAGTCTTTGTAGTAAACCTGTGTGTTACAGAAATTGGAGTCCTGTAGTATATTGGTTAGAGCGCTCATCTCCCAAGCGAGAGGACCTGGGTTCGATTCCCGGACAGGGAAAAACCTTAAGCAAATTTCCTTATTCCATACTCCTCCGTTTACCTAGCAGTTCGTAGGAACAGGGTTGTTAAATCGATTTGTCAGATCTCTTTCTGGGGGTAATAATCCCTTCCAAAATAAATAATAACAGTAATTTGGTTGCTCAACCCAGGACTCTTTGTGGGATACTGCTGTGCGCAATTGGCTTCTGCGATTCACCCACAATATATACAGTGAATTCACTTTACAGTATATTCTGTGAAGAACAACATGCATCTATATAGCACTCCTCATGCAGGGGAGTGTCCCAGAGCGCTTGACAAGAGGCAGAGCACGACGCCGAGCTTTGAAGTGCTTTGAGACATCTCAACGGTGTGCTAAGGTGCTACATCAAATGCAAGATTTATTATTATTAAGAAATTCAGCAACTCAGCTCTACGCATTAGTGCCTTTTATTACATGACAAATCCACAATTTTTAGATTTAATTATTTTTGACTAACAACAAGTCAGTCACTGAAATACAAATCTAAAAAATCATTTAAAGTACCCTTATTTGACCCCAGATGCAAAAGTTTGGCTTGAAATATGATACTCCCTCAACTGCACACAATTCAATGTTAGTTAAACCATGTACAGCTGTTCCTGCTCTTCTCCCATCCCACAATAAAGACTCTCCCTTCAACTAACCCAATGACAACTTATTGAAAGGACACTTAAAGCATCTGTATTTGTTGCCAATACGCAACGCCATTCTCCATTTAGAAGCACCTTTCAAATTGACAGATGGCCAGGCACCTGTTTGGAGATGTAAAGTACATTTAATCTAACACCAAGGTCTATACATCATAACAGTCAACTTAAAACAAAAATAAAAATCCCTTTCTATCATGTTTGGAATATAAATATTAAATTTAGTGTAAATAGATAATAGCACTGCCAGCACTAAATAAAGATTTGCATTTTAACTTAACTCATGATTTCAACTTCCCAAGTGAACAACGCAAATCACATTTTGTGACTTGCCATAATACATGTAGGAAGGACTGATCATAAAAAAATTGAGGAGCTGATTAATGTGACAGCTCCTGATAGCAGAACTGACATTAATAATAATAATAATAATAATGACATTAATAACAACAGAAGAGGCTGACAGGCTTGTGTATGGGGTATGGGAGAGGGGGACAAGAAGAGAACGGGAATGGAAGAGAAGCAGAAGCTTCACAGTAATAAAAAACATTAACAACAGCAATAATCCTCAAATTTGATAAGAGCGCCTTGTCACAACTTCCAGACGTCTCAAAGCGCTTCGCAGGATATACTGTAAAGTAAATTGATTGTATATTTTGTGGAGAAAACAAACCAAACCAGAGCTACTTTCAAGAACTGCGGCTGGTGGGGGGTGAAGTTACAAAAGAGGTGGGAGGGGGAGAGAGAGAGGTGAGGGGTGGGGGGGGAGGGGGAGAGAGGGAGAGAGAGGTGAGGGGTGGGGGGAGGGGAGAGAGAGGTGAGGGGTGGGGGGGAGAGGGAGAGAGAGAGGTGAGGGGTGGGGGGGAGGGGGAGAGAGAGGTGGGGGGGGGAGGGGGGGGAGAGGGAGAGAGCGGTGAGGGGTGAGGGGGAGAGAGAGGTGAGGGGTGGGGGGGAGGGGGGGAGAGAGGTGAGGGGTGGGGGAGAGAGAGGTGAGGGGTGGGGGGGAGGGGAGAGAGAGGTGAGGGGTGGGGGGGAGGGGGAGAGAGAGGTGAGGGGTGGGGGGAGGGGGAGAGAGAGGTGAGGGTGGGGGGGAGGGGAGAGAGAGAGGTGAGGGGTTGGGGGGAGGGGGAGAGAGAGAGGTGAGGGGTGGGGGGGAGGGGGAGAGAGAGAGAGTGGGGGGGAGTGAGAGGGAAGAAAATGCATTCACCGTTTTTAGGTAAACTCTGAATGACACTGACAGCCGCTTCAAACCGCCTGGTGTGCACGGATTCGGTCTCCTCCATCTTTCCGCAGAGGCTGGAGCGGGGGGTGGGGTGGGGGGGGAGGGGGGGGGAGGGGAGGACACACACCCGCTGGGGTTTGACAGCCTGAACCTGTACCCTGTAAATAAACAAACACAGACGCACGTTAGTGCCGCACCGACATGACAGCCCTCCAGGCCCCGCGCCTCCTCCTCAGCTCCATTCACCCCCTCCTCTCTCTCTCTCTCTCTCTCAAATCAAACCATTCAGCACGATACCCTGTGGCGGTGGCAGAGGGACGGTCCTCCAGGTGTGGTTGCTGTGGGGAGGAGGAGGGGAGGGGGGGGCGGCTGTCAGCGTCGAGCGGCGGCCGCCGACACGGCCTTTAATCCGCCTGTGGGATCAGGCCACCCGCAGCCGCCAGGAAATGTCCGGGGCGCCTGCGCGGCGCGACGCGGGGCACGCCGGGACTTGTAGTCCCAGGAGGCAGCGGGCGGCGGGCGTTTCAAACCGTCGAGGGAAGGCGGAGGAACTACAACTCCCAGCCCACCCCGCGCGCGCCCTCCCACCCCCCCCCCGTTATTCCACTCCACCCTCCCCCCCCCCCTTGCAAAACACCTCTGAGAAGTGTTTGGAGAACTTGTGTGGAAAACAGATATTTTTAAAAATATCTAAGTTCAAGCACTTTTGTTTCCTATCAGAACGCCCCCCCCCACCCCCCCCCCCCCCCCATTTGCAAACTCAAAGGGAAAGGAATAATCTGCGGCGTCATGAGGAAATGTTGCACCTCGTTCGGTTACCGGGGCGTCCGAACACCTTAATGCTGATAAACCTTGCCTTTGATACAGCGCCTCGTCGCGCCTTCGAGACGTCTCAAAGCGCTTCACAGAATATACCGTAAAGTGAACCGATGGTGTGTTCTGTGGGTGAAACGCAGCAGCCAGTTGCGCACAGCAGTGTCCCACGAACGGTCGTGGATTGAGTGATCCAATCATTTTTTTTTGGAAGGGATTATTATCCCCGGAAAATCGATCCACCAATCGACTAACAACCCGGTTCCTACTTACTGCTTACTTACTTCGTATTTCCTACGAACAGAGGTATATGGAGTAAGGAAACTTGCCCAACATTTCGCCCTGTCCAGGAATCAAACCCAGGTCCTCTCGCGAGGCGAGCGCGCTACCCACTAAGATACAGGATTCCACATAAACAGAGTAATAATAATCCTTGCTTTTGACCTTATCATAGTGACATCTCAAAGCATTTCACAGGAATTTACAGTGAAATGTAGTGATCTGCGTATTTATAGGCGAACGCGGCAGCTAATTTGTGCACAGCAATGTTTCACAAATAAACCACGGAGTGAGTTACCAATTTTATTTGGGGGACTGTTGGCCAGAACACCGGGAAATCTCCCTTCTCTTTTTGACTTGTTCCATGGGATTTTTAACTTCCACTGAACAGGTAGATGAGACTTCAGTTTAACGTGGAGTCCTGTAGCTCAGTGGTTAGAGCAGCGAGAGACCTGAGTTCAATTCCAGGCAGGGCGAAACCTTGGGCAAGTTTCCTTACTCCACACACCTAATAATAATCCCTTCAAAACCCAAAACAATAATAAATTGGTCATTTTCAATCTACGGCTGTTTGTGCGCAATTGGCTGCCGCGTTCGCCCACAAATATACAGTCAATTCACTTTACAGTGTGTTCTGTGAAGGGCTTTGGGACGTCCTCCCGACGTGAAAAGCGCTATATCAAATGCAAGGATTATTATTATTATTATGACGTCTCATTCAAAGGATCTCCAATATTGCAGCATATTGCAATATTGCAATATTGCAGCACTTCACTGGAGAGTCAGCCAATTATACGAGTTTCAGGACCTGAGGTGGGGCTTGAACACACAACCTTCTGACTCAAAGATGAGAGTGCTACCAACAGCCAGACTGACATCAGCTTAAACCTGTTATGAGAAGACTTTTTTCTAGAGAAACCAGAAATAAAATGATTCTGTACAATCTAAGGAGCTCCCTCAATGATCCAACAGGTAAAGGCATTGCCCATTGTGCTACTATGTCATGCAGACCATAAGCATAGCACTGTAGCTCAGTGACATTGGATTTAAACTTACATCCCCACTAGCCTGATACTCTGCAGTGTTCTGTAATACCAATATTTTAGTTCTTTCCCCATATCCTTTAATGTGACTAGAGTATCTAGCAACCTCTGCTCGAAAGTGCATGTGTGTGGGGCAGAATCAGGTTGGAGTTTGGTGCTCTCCATAGTTGAATAACCTGTCAACACTGTGTCGATCATCATACATGGTGAACATGTATGGGAGGTCATAGCCTCCATTGAAAAGTATTCCTTCAATGATCAGTAACTCCAGGAGAGAAGTTGTGACAAAATAAATCGTAAATTAATTCTGAATATATTCTTTTGAAATAAATAACTTTCTTGCTTTGAGTCATTAACCTATGTGAAGGTGCTAGATGCAATAAGTGCAGATTATTAGTTGATTAAAAAAATCTTAAACCCATTGTATATTTAAGAGTTAATAGTTCATCTTAAAAAGAAGCTTTAGGTTTTAATTAGCTTTGAGCATAGTACTTTCAACTATCTTGTTTTCAATTTCAATTTCATTTTATCTCATCCATTCAATCTATGAAGCAAAGATGTGGAATAGTACCCTAGAAACTCATCAAACTATCACATCTGCTCTGAAGATTTAGCCTTCAATGTTGGTTAGAGACTAACTGCGCACACATTACTGGAAAGTAGAAGGTGCGTGAACAAAAATTATACAATATTAGGAATAAAAATAAAAATTTAACTTCATCCCACATTCCATTTTCGTTAAGAGTTTTTATTTTATTTAAAAGCAAATATCATTTTTTTAATAAAAAGTAGCTGCCTTGATGGCACTGTGAAAGGAACTTCTCCAGCTCCTTCAGTCTAGTTGTAAAGTGAACATTAACATCAGAAACCTAAACCTACCTTTTTCTTTCTGATCAGCCTGCTGAGCATTTCCAACACTGCTGCCATCAGCAGAAGAGAAAGGAGGGGAGAAAATTGGGAGAAACCTCCTTTTGAATGAGTTTGCACAAAATTATGTATTTTGAGGCTTCAAGCTGAGTTTTTACGACATGCTTCATGGTGAATCGCTCTTGGTTTATGGATCTCTCAGTTTTATAACCCACATAACTGCATAAATTCTGAAGTGACTGAAAAGGAAATATAAGGTGATGTTATGATGTAAGATTGTAATACCAACATATTGCTCTCTTTCAGAATTTAAATCATTGCTAATACCAGTTGTGAATACTTAGTACTGGTAAGAATGATTATTGTTTGCAAGTTATTTGAAATGTGTTGTTTGTTCAACCCTGACAAGCAGGATAATGCCATTGATCTTTTTTCTTTACGTCTGTTCAAGCCTTAGTTTGAGCAAAGCTTGGCTGAGCTTGTACTATTATGACTACTATCAGCTGAATAAACAATGTCTTGTTCCTCTATGGATCATATTATAATGTCCTGTTGGAGTGAAGAAACCCTATTGTTGTGCAATGCCTGAATGCGTACTGATGTTTGTTTTGCATTGCAGCCTGATTCTGTTTCACAGAGTTCTGCAGAAAATTGCTTCAGTTTCTATACTGACAAAGGTGATTTGATCATTGACGAGGATTAAAGTATTCACAAATGCTGCAGTGTGACATTACTTTTAGTTCCCATCATATTGCTAACATGTTGTAGACCTCAGTGTGGCAGAAGAGATCTCTAAATATTTGAACAGTGCAGCATGGAGTCCTGTAGCGAATTGGTTAGAGCACTCGCGTCGCAAGCGAGAGAACCTGAGTTTGATTCCCGGGCAGGGTGCAATGTCAGGCAAATTTCCTTATTCCACATGCCCTTTGGTTACTTACCAGTAAGTAAGAATCTGGTTGTTAGTCAATTGGCGGATCGCTTTTCTGGGGGTAATAATTCTTTAAAAAAAACACGACTGTTTGTTGGACACTGCTGTGCGCAATATTTCACCCACAAAATATACAATCAATTCAATTTAGAGTATAGTCTGCAAAGCCCTTTGAGATGTCTCAAAGATTTGAAAAGGTGCTATATCAAATGCAAGGATTATTATTATTACCTTTATGCTTTTTCTTAAAGAGCGCCTTTAGAGAAGGCAACATTGATACACGTATGATATTTTTATGCCACTATGAATCTCTCTGATTCTTTAGCAAACCATAAAAAATTTTAATGAAACATTTAGCCAGCAATGTATTCGGCATATATGCTGTGTTCAATGTCTATTATTTTGTTCCCTGTTTAAATGCACAGTGTATCACGGTCTATGTATGTTTTGCAATCTCAGGCAAGATAGAAATAATTTGCATTTTTATAGTACTTTATCATTGCAAAATGTCTCAAAGTACTTCACAGTAATCACTAATATGTCTAGTGACTGTTTTTGTAGGTTAACATGGCAAGTATTTTGCAAGCTGTAATGTCCAATAAGGTGATTGATCAAATTACTGTTTCTGGATGCCTGAGGGAAGTGTTAGTATCAGTAGAAAATCAAATGTTCTCCTCTGTTGTCTCTGTAGGGCAAATTGAAGACTGCTTCCTTGCCTCAACCAATACTACTTTGTAGCTGGACATCAAGAGTTCAGGAGCTCTTTCAATGGCTCAACTGGTAAATGTATTGTCTAGTATGAAACATCCAAACAAATTTACTAGTTCCCAATTTTGATACCAGTCTGTATCGAAATATAGTGCATAAAAGCAAATTCAATGAGACACTTTAGAACAAATGTTAGTACAGTTAACAAGACATTTGATAAGAGCGAAGTTACAGAATACACATTGGAGGAGAAGTCACCAAACTAGAACTGTTCTGATTAATATTAAACATTTGCAACACTGCTACATTTTGAACCATTTATACATTTATACATTTTGAGACGTCTAGAAGACATGAAAAGCGCTATATCAAATGCAAGGATTATTATTATATTATTATTATTTAAAAACTCTCACAGTCAAGACTAGTTGTAATTTGTATAGAAATATTCT